GGAGTGAGCCTCAGAGTCGGGATGTGAATTGGCTTCTCGGATGCTCTGTCCACACTCACGCATATGTGCAAATGATTCAGTGGGTCATGGCGGTTCATATTAGGGCTTATACTGGTATCTCATACCTTGGTCTGCAAATCAAATAATGACGTCATGAATTGTACCAGGGACACCTGAGGGGCAGGGGAGTCCCACAACACAGGCTCCTAGAAAGCACTGTCTTGTCAATTCCCTTTGGCAGAGCATTATCTGCCCTTGGCTAAAAGAATTAGGGACAAATTCTCTCAAGTTCATCCATCCAAGTCTGTTAAAATACTTAAGTGACTTTAAAAGATTCGAGCTTCTTGCGGAGAAACCATTAATTAAAGATAGTACTAACCAAGTAAGCAGAAGCCAAAGAAGAAAACTGTAGTCCTCCACAATGTGAGGAACTATTACCCTTAACAGGGCATTCCATCTTTTGTATATAAGCTCTCAGATATAAACTGAGGAAGGTGTGAAGCTATGACATGTAGCACCACATTTAAAAACTAAGCAAGTAATAAATGGAAGGAACACCTCTGTTGAGCAAACAGTCAAGACAATTCAGTTTGTTTCTTACAAGAAGGAGAAACTATAAACGCGGCAGGAGGAAACAAACCAGCGATACTTTTTTTCCCTTCTCTATACAAATTTAAAAGGAGGCTTCTCTTAAAATGCTGTGTTGCCATGATACCTGGTTTCACCTGAAGCTAACTATTCTCAAACCTTGAGTTAACCAATACATTTTTCTTGTGGAAATGTTTGTCTTAAAGCTATGTTAATGTGCTAAGCACTTACCACCAAGTGGCTCAAAGTACTTGACAGATCAGTATGTTATACTCAGATATTGTTCCCCTAATCTATGTAACCGAAACGATTTGTGTGGTAATCTGCCCTTCTGCAAGATTCAAGTCAGTCGTTTTATGGCCTGGGATGAATTATCTGGTGCCATTCTGAATTTCAAGACATTCCTTTCTTTTCATTAGCAGACTGCGAGTGAATATATAACATCCAGCTGAACACTAGCAGGGGCGTACTCGTTCTGCCCCCTTCTGATGCTATGTCGGAAGCTTTCCCTAGCTCCTTTATACTTAATAAAACTTTATTACATGCACACACACACAAAAGAAACTATAATAGCATTAGAAAACCTGTTTTCACATAATATATTAAATATTTATAATATAATTTGAGTTCTCATAAAATAAGGCTGAAATAATACACTGCAGGTAACACTGTGACAAGCTGAACTCTATTTTGTTATGAGTAAGCACTTTTGGAGAAACATATTAAAATACTGTGCAGGATATGAAGAAGCAAGTATTGGAATGAATTGTGCAGTTTAGTAGAATGGTTGTTTCTAACCTGTCTCAGTTTGTGGTTATTTGCTACTTTCTCTTTTAATAACAAAATGCACAGATAGGCAGCTTTCTGCCTCCTGTTAAACATGAAAGCAAAGATGTGTTAGAGAAGATTCTTTCTCAATAGCAAGTGGCATTTTAAAAAATAAAAGCAAAACTTTATGGAATATTACATTTATATGACTGGTAATAAAAGTAGATGCAGTCACAGAAATATTTGAAAGGATTCCCAAAAAAAACATGCAAAGTAAGCATATTTAAAATTCATTCATTCCCTACCTCATTCACAGTTAAAATGAAGAAGTCGAACTCAGGAATGCATAGAGTTATAAAAATGTCATTAACACAGTTAATGTAAAAAAATGGTATTTAAAAGATAACTCAACCATAGTAAATTCATATAACGCATTTCAATGAGATACAGCTTAACCAGGCAAATATTTTATTTCACTTAGAAGCTGTCAGTTATCCTTTGGCAAAGAAGCAGTGAAGTAAAAGCTAGTTGACACACATTCTTATAAAAATATAAGTAACTGAACCTTGTTAACTTTTCCTGCTGCTGTTAGGGACTGTCAAATGTGTACTATATAGAAAATACTTTTGAAGAAAAAAAAATATAATATATTCACTTAGCCTATCCCTGGAGAAAAAGGTGAGATTTTTTTTTAAGTGATTGAGAAAAAGAAGTGTAAAAGGATCTTAAACTTAAGATACTCAACCTTGTTCAAAATAAGAAAAAATATGCATGTGGAAATGCCATTTTTTCAAAGGTAAGATTGGAAAGCAGCCCCAAAGTCCTGTGGCTGCTCTGTTGGTGAGGGGGTGGGGGACCTGCTGCTTTTACACGTCATTGGGGAGAATGGAAGACAGCACACTTCTGGAGAAGAGTTTGGAAACATAAAAAGAAATACATATTTTTCCCTTGGGTACAGCAATCCCACTCTAGGATCCATCTCAGAGATACTCTGATCAAGACCATGAAAACACACGTGTATACAAGTCTATTGGTTGTACCAATATTTGTAATAAAAAAAAAATGAAAACTGTTTACCAATATGGGAACAGTAAAGTATAACCACACAATGGAATTCAATAATGCTAATTTTTCCATGAAGAAAATATACACATATTACTATGGAGAACTCTACAGAATATATAATGTACAGTTTAAAAAAAAGGAAGCTGGAGACAAATATGCACAGTATTCTACTTTTTACTTAAGAAGATGATGCAAATCTCTTCAATATCTACATCATCTATATAATCTGTTTATGTGTTTTAAAGTGGGAGCTTTTTCAAATAAAGATCTACACATACATCATAGAGAAAAGGAATATTGAAGAGAATGGGAATAAAAGTTATATTTCTTTGAATATAATTATTCCATAGCTTTGACTTTGGAATCACATTAGTATTTTTTATAAATATAAAAATATAAATTATAAAAACAAAATACATTTTAAAATAGTTAAATATATGTATGAAATTGGTGACATAATTATACAGTAACTGTACATGACTCTATATCCCTACAACAACATACTCTAATGACAAAACAAACTGTATTAACACTGTTTTCAGTAATCACACTTTGTTGATGGCGTTGGTACTCTGAAACAGATACTATTATATACGTATTATGAAAGGAGACAAATCAGTAATTATGTTGATATCACTCAGTAACAAGATTTTTTGCTAAGAGAGAAAGCAATGACAGTTTTAAGATCAGTGACTTCAAGTAAAAATTTCATAACCCTGGGTATAAAGTGGAAATGTCAGCATAAATACAGTTTTCACCTTTTTAAAAATGCATGTTTCCCAGCTCTTTCAGCTAGGCCTAGAAAGAGTGACCAAGCTAGTAACAGTGAGTGCACCAAGCACTGGGACTGTGATTTCTAAATGCCATTTCCTATTTTTAAAGGAACCAGATCCCCTACCCAACTCCATATATAGGAATTAACTTAAAAGGAATCAACGACCTAAATATAAGAGCTAACCTATTAGAAAAAGCATAGGGGTAAATCTTCATGAAATGGGATTTGGCACTACATTCTTAAATTTGACATCAATGGCACGAGCAACAAAAGAAAATATAAATTGGACCACATCAAAATTTAAGACTTTTTTGTATCAAAGGGCATTGTAAAGAAAGTGAAAAGACAGAGTGGGAGAAATGCTTGCAAATCATATAATGGTGAAGCTCTATCTAGTATCCGCAATAAATAAAGAGCTCTTACAACGTAACAACTAAAAGACAAACAACCCAATTAAAAACAGGCAAAGGATTTGAACAGACATTTCTCCAAAGAAGATATACAAATGGCAAATGAGTATATGAGAAGACATTCAACATCATTGGTTATTAAGGAAACGCAAATCAAAACCATGAGATACCACTTTATACTTAATAAGATGGCTACTTAAAAAATAGAAAAATATTAATAGCAAGCATTGGTGAGAATGTAGAGAAATAAAAACCCTTATAAGTTGGTAGTGGAAATGTAAAATGATGAAGCAGCTATGGAAGATAATTTGTTGGTTCCTTAAGAGGTAGAATTACTGTATGATCTCAAAACTGCACTCCAAGAGAAATGAAAACATACATCTAAACAGAAACAAGTATTCAAATGTCTATAATAGCATCATTCATAACAGCCAAAGACAGAAACAATGCACATCAATGGATGAATGGATCAATAAGTTGTGGTATAATCCATATAATGAAATATTATTCAGCCACAAAAATAACAAAGTACTGATACATATCACAACTTGGATGAATGTCAAAAACATGTCAAGTGAAAAAAAAGCAGACACAAAAGGTCACATATTTTGTGATTCCTTTTATATGAAATATTTAGAATTGGCAAGTCCATAGAAACAAAACAAAACAAAAAAACAGATTAGTGTTTGCCAAATGATGGGGGTAAGAGAGAATGGGAAGTGACTACTTAATGGATATAGAATATTATTATGGAGTGATGAAAAAGTTTTGAAACTAGAAAGAGGTGGTGGTCACTGCATAACAATATTAAAGCAAAAAATGCCACTGAATTGTACACTTTAAAATGGTTAATTGTATGTTATGTGAATTTCACCTCATTAAAAAAATACATGTAATGGTAATGATATAGCGCAAGTAAAGGATGTTTTGCAATGTTGGAAGATATAAAACATTTAAACAGATATTTCAGCTTTGTATCATTCTTTCTTTTTAAACACATGTTCTTTCATATAATATTTATGTAGTTGTTCAAAATTTTTAGCAACAGAGGTGCATGATAAAAAATTGCTCTAAATACAGGTTAATAAATCTCTACTTTTCAGGGTGAATTGATAGACATACTTCGTATTCATTGGCTGAATAATATTTTAAAATTTATTTTCAATGCCTTTTGTAGATTATACATTTTCTAGTTCAACACAGGTCCTTCATACCCTAGGGTTTTATATTGTGATTCAAACATTAATTTTCTTGCCCAACAATGATCAAATAGATTCTGGATTTTCAATTCCTCATTAGGGAATTGGGCATATCTAAGGTAGTTTTATATCAATAATTGCCCTTTTTCTGCTCTTGATCAGAACTAGAAATGGAGGAAACAGTGCTAGACTTACCCACACACGGCAGAGAGTAGCCAAGCTGAGGGTCGTGGACAAACTGCCGGTCATTGAGTCTGGTCACACAGTACAGGTGGAAACAGTCTAAGCAGATCACGTGGCGGTGGGTGCACTGGAAAACCAGGACGGGGCTCCTGCGGAGGCAAAGACATTTCCTCTAGTCCTGCTGAGGCTGGAGACGCAACATGCAGTCCAGGACACTTCCTGTGACCTTGTAGGGTTGCTTAGGGTACGCTCCACGTAGAGAACTGCACTGCTAAGCGCTGGGTTCGTACATACCAAGGCTACCTCTGCAAAACTGGAAACACCTTGTGAGCCATGAAGAACATTGATTTTCTTAACTTTCATTTTTCATATTTTTATATTTTTCATATTAACTTTATTTTTCATATGGACCAATCAGCTATTTAAACCCAAGTTCAGATACAAGCTCTTTCTAGAAGCCTTTGACTTATAATTCCCAATTAACCCACTCATCATGCCATCCACTTACAAATATTTCACTATTTTATCATGATATTGTTATATTTCTCTTCACTTGTAAGACTATGATCCCTGTGAAACTAGATACTGAGTCTACTTGATACTAATATTCTCATAGCACCAGGCACTGTAAGATTTTAAATGAATGATCCTTGAATTCAGTTATAATATTAAATAGTATATAAACCTGAATTTCCCCCAAGTCAAAAGAAAAATTAGCAAAGCATGTTAAACAGTCATTCATATCTCATTGGCAAATAGAAAAGTAGAGTTTAGAAATAAAAGATTATCTAACAGAGGTTCATCTACGACAGGATTTTGTCTATTATGCTTCCCCATCTACTCAAATATTCAATTTCTAAAATTAAAGTTAGGGGAGTACTAATAAATCAATATATATAAGTCCTAAAAAGTTTGCTTTTCCTTAAAATACTGTAGGAAAAATCTGTCAAGTAACCACTTTTTTTTTTTTTGCTTGTAAATGAACTGCATGAGTTTATGACAAAAAGGAGACAAAAATAAAATATTAATTTGAAATCAGCCCCAAGGCAATTTTAATAGTAAGAAAGTCATTAGATTTTATCTTGATAAGCCTATTTTCTGTGTGATGATAACAAACTACAAAATATTTTTTTATTTCATACCCAGTTCTTAACAGAAAAGCTCTTCCCCTAAAAATAACAGAAGATAACTTCATAATAATTAACAAGATTAAAAAAATTTTGTTTTCCTACTTATTTCAAAACAATATATAATACACAAAAAAATGGAAAGGAAGCCTTGCTATTAAATGTCTTGGGCCAATAAGTTGATGGTCAATCCATCTGAGTAAGAGTGTCCCTGAGGTTTTGATGTGCTTCCGTTTCCTGGCTCTGAACCTTTTGCCAGCCCCTCAAGGGCATTTCCGTTCCCAGGGCCTTTTGAACTGGGTGTTGACTGTGTGCTGAATTTTCAGCCTCCCCCTTCTAACAGCCTCCCCACTGAAGACGATGAAATGCAACGCTTGCCTGTTTCTGAGAGCGGAGTCAGGCACGCACACATGTACAAGTGCACACACACCTTACTCCCTCTAGACGACCCTTCAGACCTGCCATATTTACGTCCTTCTTTCAGGACTATGTTCTGTGAAAAAGGTTCTTCATTCTGATTTTACCAACATGGTTGACTCAGCCTTTATAGGCCCCTCATCTGCTATCAACACAGAGAAACACTGGAGAAACTATGAGAGCATTTATAAAAATGTGCCTATATATAACAAGGTTAAAAAGAAAGCTTTGCAATTACCCTGTAGAAAAAAATATAAAAAGAAAACTTATATAAAATCCAAAGCAGTCAGAATGGATTGTAGACTCTGCCAGGGTCCCAGGGAGATGTTAAGATGGGTGGCATGTAGCCACTCGTCTAGCAAATGTATTCTTTCCATCTCTATTAATAGAAGGAAGAATAGAGAGTTCTCTTTCATGTGTGGACAACAGTACACATTTATAGTTTTGCCTTTCAGTTAAAATATGTTTCAGTTAAAATAAGTCCAAAAGAACTTACACCACTTAGTCAACGCATAGAGCATCAATTTCTCTGCTTTAGAGATCTCATCAAGAAAATTAGAGATACCAAGGGAGCATTTAATGAAAAGATGAGCACAACAAAGGACAGAAATGGTAAGGACCTAAGAGAAGCAAGAGAGATAAGAGGAGGTGGCAGGAATACACAGAAGAAGGGTACAAAAAAGGTCTTAATGACCCAGATAATCACGATGGTGTGGTCACTCACTTAGAGCCAGCCACCCTGGAGTGTGAAATCAAGTGGGTCTTAGGAAGCATCACTACAAACAAAGCTAGTGGAAGTGATGGAATTCCAGCTGAGTTATTCCAAATCCTAAAAGATGATGCTGTGAAAGTGCTGCCTTCAACACGTCACCAAAGTTGGAAAACTCAGCAGTGGCCACAGGACTGGAAAAGTTAAGTTTTTGTTCCAATCCCAAAGAAGGGCAATGCCAGAGAAAGTTCAAACTACCACACAACTGCACTTATTTCACATGCTACCAAGGTAATGCTCAAAATCCTTCAAGCTAGCCTTAACAGTACATGAACTGAGAACTACCAGATGTACAAGCTGGATTTCAAAAAAGCAGAGGAACCAAAGATCAAATTGCCAACATCCATTGTCTAGTCAAGGCTATGGTTTTTCCAGTGGTCATGTATGGATGTGAGAGTTGGACTGTGAAGAAAGCTGAGCACTGAAGAATTGACGCTTTTGAACTGTGGTGTTGCAGAAGACTCTTAAGAGTCCTTTGGACTGCAAGGAGATCCAACCAGTCCCATCCTAAAGGAGATCAGTCCTGGGTGTTCATTGGAAGGAGTGATGCTGAAGCTGAACCTCCAATACTTTGGCCACCTGATGCGAAGAGTTGACTCGTTGGAAAAGACCCTGATGCTGGGAGGGATTGGGGGCAGGAGGAGAAGGGGACGACAGAGGATGAGATGGCTGGATGGCATCACTGACTCGAAGGACACGAGTTTGGGTAAACTCCGGGAGTTTGTGATGGACAGGGAGGCCTGGCGTGCTGTGATTCATGGAGTTGCAAAGAGTCAGACACGATTGAGCAACTGAACTGAACTGAATTGTAATATACAATAAACAAGAGAATTCCAGAAAAACATCTATTTCTGCTTCATTGACTACGCGAAAGCCTTTGATTGTGTGGATCACCACAACCTGTGGAAAATTCTTAAAGTAATGGGAATACCAGACGACCTTACCTGCCTCCTGTGAAACCTGTATGCAGGTCAAGAAGCAACAGTTAGAACTGGACATCAACAGTGGACTGGTTCCAAATTGGCAAAGGAGTATGTCAAGGCTGTATATTGTCACCCTGCTTACTTACCTTTTATGAAGAGTGTGTGCTAAGCGACTTCACTTGTATCTGATTCTGCGACCCCATGGACTATAGCCCCCCAGGCTCCTCTCTCCATGGATATCCCCAGGCAAGAATAAGGTAGTGGGTTGCCGTGCCCTCGTCCAGGGGATCTTCCCAACCTGGCAATTGAACCTGAGTCTCTTACATCTCCTGCATTGGCAGGTGAGCTCCTTACCACTAGCGCCACCTGGGAAGCCCCTATGTGGAGCACATCATGCAAAATGCTGAGCTGGATGATCACAAGCTGCCATCAAGATTGCTGGGAGAAATATCAACCACCTCAGATGTGCAGATGACACCACGCTGATGGCAGAAAGTGAAGAGGACCTAAAGAGCTCCTTGATGAAGGTGAAAAAGGAGAGTGAAAAAAGTTAGCACTCTTTAGCAGCTGAGAAATGTCTTTGGAGGTCATTTTAATAAATCTGACATGAGTGACTAAGGAATTGGACCGTGTTGTGCTGGTGGTTCTAGGAGTGGAAACGAAAAGATGGATATGAGTGACGTTTCTGAGGGGAACCTGCCAGGACCTGTATTCTCGTGGGTCTTTTTCTTTCTTCTGACATTCCTCTGTGCCCTTTGCTCTGACTGCACATAAATGTTAATTGACCAATCCAGAAAATGATTTTACCCCAGTGAGCCAGGTTACAGAGCAGTTTATCAAAAGCTACATAAAGTTCCCAATCATATATAAAAAAATCATATACAAATCTGCACTTGACATTACTTCAGAGTTATTTGTAAGCAATGATTTCCCTGCTTTTATTAAAGGAGTGATCCAAAGACTCTTTATTCAAAACGGAGAACTATTACGACGTCTCTGTGTGTGTGTGTGTGTGTGTGTGTGTGTGTGTGAGTGATAGTCACTCAGTCATGTCTGAGTCTTAGTGATGCATGGACTGTAGCCTGCCAGGCTCCTCTGTTCGTGGGATTCTCCAGGCAAGAACACTGGAGTGGGTTGCTGTTTCCTTCTCCAGACATCTCTTATATGTGGAATCTAAAAGAAATTATACGAAATGAATTTACTTGCAAAAGAGAAAGTGACTCACAGACTTAGAATGAACTTATGGTTGCCAGGGGGAGGGGACAGTCAGGGATGCTGGGAAGGTCATGTAAACATTGCTTCATTTAAAATGGATAACCACCAAAGACAGATTGGATAGCACATGGAACTCTTCTCGGCGTTATGTGCCAGCCTGGATGGAAAGGGAGAGAATGGATGCATGTAAATGTATGGCTGAGTCCTGTATCTATTTACCTGTAACTACCACAACATCGTTAATTGGCTGTACCCCAATACAAAATGTTTTTGGTGTTTTTTTTAAATAAAAGTATTAAGCATAATTGAGAGAGTCCTAGTAAAACTGACAGTGAGGCATTCATATACAGGACACAAAGTCGAAAACTGTTCCACAGTAATCCAAACATTTAAACTCTTGTAAAATTAGTTCTCTAGTACCTACAAAATGGTACCAATTTTATTTTCATATTTTTCTGATAAAATGCACGGTTTTCTACCTCATCCATTTTCTCTCTTGTCACACACACACACATACACACTTGATCTCCTTTCCGTTCCCTCTCTCTGCCAAAATCTCTTCATCTCTGTCTGATGATGTTTTTCTCAGATACATTTTCATTTATACCCACTGACAGAGAGGCTGTGGTTCCAACTTCTCAACTGAACATGACATATACTGAATGCAATGTGCCAAAAAATTTCAAGATATGTAAAGC